GAGGAGGAGGAGGAGGAGGAGGAGGAGGAGGAGAAGGGGGAGGAGGAGGTGGAGGAGGTGGGGGAGGAGGAGGAGGAGGAGGAGGAGGAGGAGGAGGAGGAGGAGGAGGAAACATTGGAGTCTGACCATTGGGTTGGTTCCCGCGTATACGCGGCGCTCCTCCTTTCTGCGAGCGCCCGCGACCTCCCTATGCGTCGTCGCAGCCAGGAAGGCCCCGCAGGTATCGCCTGTAGGCGCTGCCGTTGGGTAACGCGGGTGCCTTTAGGCAGGGAGTGCCTATAGGCGCGCCTGTAGGCGAGGATGGCCTCTAGGCGTGCCTGTAGGCAGGGAGGAAGGAGGAGGGAGAGAGGGGGGGAGTGCCTATAGGCAAGGAGGGCCTGTAGGCATGCCTGTAGGCAGGGAACGGGGAAGGGCCTGTAGGCGTGCCTGTAGGCAAAGAGGGGGGGGGCAGTGGAGGAGTGCCTATAGGCACGGGGTGCTTGTAGGCGTGCTAGTAGGCAGGGAGGAAGGGAGGGGGAGGGAGAGGGGGAAAGGCGCGCGCGCGCGCCGTGCCCCTTTCTGACCGTCCGGCGCTAGCATGCGTGCACGAAGGTCGAGGCGGCCACGCCTATCAGCCGCACCTTGGCAGCTAGCTCGTCCACGTCCAGCGTGTCCCGCAGCGCCCACAGCAAGAGCTCGCCCCTCAGCGGGCCCCACGCGGCATGCACCGCCTCCCGGTGGGCCTCCATGGCGGCACAGCATTCAATCAGGTGCTGGAGGCAGACCGCGCCGCCAGCGCACAACGGGCACGCCTCGGACAGGCGCTCCGCCGTCAATCCCCAGCCCCCGACCGGGATTTGGAGCGACACGCGCGCGGCGCACCATGCACGGTGGAACCGCCTCATAGTTCGCCCCCATGACGCCCACCTGAGGGCGGGGGGCCAGTCGCAATGCAGAGGGAGGACCTCCGCGATGGGTACGAGGCCGGTGTCGTCCAAGCGGCCCAGCTGTTCCCGGAACCAGATCTGCTCGGTTTCGCGGATCCGCGGCAACACGGCCGAGCGAGCCCAGCCGCGAAGGGCGCGCCGCCTCGCCTGCGCACCCGCCTGGGCCGCGACAGCCAGGCTCTCCAGCGGCGCCCCCACCCCCCGAAAAGGGCGGCCACCGCGGCGGCGGCGCGCAGCCAACAACCGCCTTGGCGCGCCAGCGCTGCCCGCACAGCCCGTGCAATCGGCGTCTGCTCCGGCAAGGAGGAGGAGGAGGAGGAGGAGGAGGAGGAGGAGGAGGAGGAGGAGGAGGAGGAGGAGGAGGCGGAGGAGGAGGCGGAGTGAGGAGGGAGGAGGCGAACGAGGGAGGAGCGGACGTCCGCCTCACGACGCCAGCCTGCGCCCGGGCGGCCTCCCAGACGCCGGCGGCCATGGAGTCCGCGAGCGCGCTGATGCGAGGAAAGAGACTCGGGTCTGGGCAGAAGCCGACCTCCTCAGGGGGGGAGGGGGATAGGGGAACAAAAAGTGGCATACACATAAAAACTCGGAGGAGGAGGAGGAGGGAGGGAGGGAGGGAGGGAGGGAGGAGGGGGCAGGGAGGAGGGAGGAGGGAGGAGGGAGGAGGGAGGAGGGAGGAGGGAGGAGGGAGGAGGGAAGAGGGAGGAGGGAGGAGGAGGATGGGGAGGAGGAGGAGGAGGAGGAGGAGGAGGAGGAGGAGGAGGAGGAGGGGCGAGGAGGAGGAGGAGGAGGAGGAAGAGGGAGGGCTAGGGCCGCGCCCGCCGTCCTCCCCCCTGGCAGGCGACGAGCCCGACGGCGACCGCGACCTCGCGCGCTCCGCGGGCAAGCCCGCAGGGGACCGGAAGGCCGGCTGGGGTGCGGCGGGGCTGGGACGAGAATATGTTTGAAGTCCCAGCGATTCAATTTTTTCGAGGCGGGCGTCTTCGCCCAGTTTCGGGCCCCGGGGCCCTCACAGATCGATCCGGCTTGAAAATTGACGCAGAAAGATGGGGTGTAGGGCTCCCGTCGCAATTTTTCACGATGCTTGGACTTTTCGAGTCGTCGAATCTCAGGGAAGTCCGTTCCAGAGCGTTCCAGGACGAGGATCAAGGGGGGAGAAGCCACCCGAACCCGATCATTGGCGTTTGCTAAACGGCCATGGGCATGTACTAGGCAGCCCTGCCCTGTTCGATTCCTTTTGTGGATGCGGTCACTAAACGGCTTCGCGTGTCGGTGTAATTACTCTGGGAGTGGAATTTCTGCCCTCTAGAGGAGAAGTCCGTCCAGGGAGCGTTCCGGAACGATCTCAGAGCGTTCCATAGCTCTCCGATCGGGAAGGCGAGCCCCGGCAGCCAGGTCGAGCAGGCAGCCAGGTCGAGCAGGCAACCCGCGGTGGGGTGGAAGGCCAGCTGGGGGGAACGGTCGGCGCCGCCCCGCGGCCGCCGGGCGCTCGACACTCTCCCGGCGCTCTGCTTCCCTGGTTTCCTCGCCTGCCCCCCCCATCGCGCTGCGGTCGAGCCTCGCCGCCGCTGCAGCTGCGCCGCGCCGGCCCGCGCCTCCAGCCCGCCGCAGCCTGTCTGCGCCGCCGCCTTCTGCCACCCCCCTCGGCGCCTCTGGCGGTGACGTACACAGTCCTTAACGCGCTGGCTCCCAAGAGCGAGCGGTGACGTGAAATCCAGGAGCTGGTTTTACATCCTGGGCCGTTTCTCCACTGCCCCAGAGACCGGCGCGAGCCCCCAGGCACAGAACATGGAAATCGATAAAACTTTTCGCGGTGGTTTCGTCACGACGCGAAGGGTCTGGGCCCCTCCTGCTTATCCCCTTGCCCCTTCCCCTCGCTCTCTCCCTTTTCTCCAACCTTGTTCCAAGCAAACACTGCGGCAGGCGGGAGCTGCCGCGGGCGTAAAGTTCACCGATTCGGACGGCGACGTCATCGAAATGGCCGTGAAGGACGACGACGTCGTCCAGTACGTCAACGGACGCCAGGGGGGGAACGGATTCAGAGGAGGGCGATTTGAGACAACGTAGTTGCCCTTCGGGGGGGGGGTCGTCGCCACGCTTGGACGCAGCTGGGAAAATCGGTGCGTTTGGACTCCGGGAGGGGTCTGGGGACCGATTTGAGTTGCCGCTGTCTCAATTCACCTTGCTCCGAGGGATGAAGGGCGTATGGGAGAGAGCGTGCGGTAGGTCAGTTCTCGCGTTTCCCCCTCCTCTTTATCATCTTCACCATCGGCGTTGTCATGTGGAATCCGCCCCCCCCCCCTTCCCAATCCTGCCCATCCCCTAATGGGCTGCCAATGTTGTATCCACTTACTCCTTCTCTAACTGCTCGCGTTCTCCTCCTCCTGCTCACTTTTCTGCTGCCGCTGCTGATCCCCACTTCCTCGTCATGCTCATCGTTCTCCTGCTGGGGTTGCTCCTCCTCCTCCTGCTTCTCCTCCTCCCCTGGGGGTCCTGAGGGTGAAGAAGATGCGGAACATGTAGATGAGCCGCAGCAGCAGCATGACAAAGACGACCAACAGCAGGTGAGCAGCAGCAGCAGCAGCAGCAGCAGCACGAGGACAAGAGTAGCTGCAGCGGCGTCAGGAGAACGACGAGGAGGACGAGGGCGAAGGGCAGCGGTAGTCGTCCCTGGGATCATGCTACTCGTCCTCTTGCCCCCCCGTGGGCATTCTCCCCCCCTCCCCCCCCCCCGCGAACCACTCCTGCTGCTGCTCCTCATCTCTTCTCCACGGGGGAAGGTGTGGGGGCCTTCAAAGGTCACAGGTGCTCATTTTGCCAACGGGCTAGGAATGAAGAATCGCTGGCCGCGTCGTGGGCACCTCCAGGAGGTGGGTCCCTGTGGCGGGCGACGCCCAGGCAAGCAGGAATCCAGGAGGAGCCAAATGTCGCCATCCTCCGCGCCGGGCCCACGGGGAGGGCGGGTCCCCGTGGCGAGCGCGGCACCCACCTTAATTGAATCATGGTCTCCACTGGCGCAGGCCATGAGGAAACATAGATGACCTCAGAGACTGGCCAGCCTACCCTCGCATTGCTCGCCCTCCTGCTGCCGCTCATGGTTATCGGAGGTGGATCGACCTCCTACCCTGACACGTCGATTCAGGAATCGGCCGTTTTCGGTTCGCGAGAGGGCGTCGCGCGGCCGTCAGGTTCGCGAGGCCCAGGTCCGTCGGCTTCAGTCCCAGGCCGTTTTTCACTGAGGGGAGGTTTGCTGAAGGGAGCTTTGTCCACCGCCGAGGTTCTTGACTTGGACGCCCCTGAGGGGGGGCAGACGCCGCCGCCCAGTTTTTTTTGTCAGGCAGCCCGGAGTTTCTTTGCGGGGGGTGTCATGGCGACCCCAGAGGTTCCACAATGGGTGCGGTTTGCGAAGGGTGCGGTTTGCCTCCCGTCTTATCTGCCCCTCCCGCCCCCGGGAAGCGGATGACACTGACACTCAGTGCGACCGAATCACATGACACTGCCGCTCTTTCTGGCACAGTGGAGCGCACATCGAGGATGACAGTGTCGCTCGAAACGACGACAGTTATGACATTGTCTCTCACAAAGGCCCCGGAAAGGTCGCCACAAAGCAACTCTCAAACCGCACCCCGGCGTAACCGCACCGATTGTAGTCGCCGAGGAAGGGCTTGGATGCGCGTGTGCGTGTTTGCAGGAGGCGTGGCCAGACAAGAGATGGATCTAAGGAGAGCTCTGATGCCGACGCCGAAGCCGTGGAGGCGCACAGGGCGGAGGGAGGACCGCAAGAGGGCGGGGAGCTAGAAACTCTGGGCTGGGAAGCTGTTTGGGCAGCTGCTGGTGCCGCTAGGGGCGCGGGTGGTGGTGGTGGTGGTGGTGGTGGTGCTGGTGGTGGTGGTGGTGGTGGTGGTGGTGGTGGTGGTGGTGGTGGTGGTGGTGGTGGTGGTGGTGGTGGTGGTGGTAGTGGTGCTGCTGCCACAGGCCGGCGGCCGTCGCTTTGTGGGAACGTGGGGAGTTTGGGAGGCGTGGTGGATGGGAAGGAGGGAGTTGAACACATACCAGAGTGCGGGATGGGCGGGGATCGAAGACGGCCCAAGAGGGTGTCCGGTATCCAGAAGTCCCACCGAACTTGCGTGCCAGAGGGCGAGAGGGGGGTTTGAGACGGCACCCGTTCCACTTGGGCGCGGAGCTTGGGCGAGGGGGCGAAGACGGACCCAGGGGGTCGAAGAAGACGCGGAGGAGGGCCCAAGAAGGCCACCAAAGGGCCCGAGCAGGCTCGGACGACGGCCCAAAAAAGGCACCCGAAGGTGTTGAAAACGGCGGAGCGAAGCGAAGAGGGAATACGAATACACCTTAGGCGATGCTTAAGAAAACCTAAGTTTTCGTCCTGAGTCTCGATTATTCTTAAAATTTCAATGTAAATCCCAAGATTTTGATAGAAGTTCTGGGTTTTATTCACTTTCTGAGACTACGAATTTCTTAACCCATCATTTCTTGAGCATTTCGCAGGGTGTAGGCAGAAAGGAGCGCTCCCACGAGCTACTGGGGCCTCAGCAGGCTCTCCAGGGGCCCCCCCTGGGCGCGGCGAAGACGGCACAGGAAGGCTTCACAAGGGCGGCCAGACCGCCGAAGATGGGTCCGGGAGACCTTCAGGACGGCCCGGTAGGCCTTAGGCGATGCTTAAGAAAACCTAAGTTTTCGTCCAGAGTCTCGATTATTCTTAACTTTTCAATGCAAATCCCAAGATTTTGATAGAAGTTCGGGGTTTTTAATCAAGTTCTGAGACTATGAATTTCTTAACCCATGATTTCTTAAGCATTTCGCAGGGTGTAGGCCTTGTAGAGACTCCCACGTGGCCGGAGAGGCCCCAAGCTCGGCGCAAGATGCTTCAAGAGAGCCCCAGGAGGCGCAGAGAGGAAGCCGAAACGGCGAGAATCAGCAACATCCCTGTGGAGTTTGAAGGTGTGCGGCTGCCTCGGTTGTTCGGCAGGACATGCCTCGAAGAATGCTTCGGAGGGGTCAGAGACGGCCCCGGAGGGCCCCAAGGAGCGGCCAAAGCAACCCAAGAGGTCTCCAAGAGGCTCCGAAGACTGCCCAGGAGGGTTTCCGCTCATGGTTATGGAATCGCTTCGCTCATTCCGCAGGCCCGTATTGTGCCATCGGTGGCGTTTGCGCCCGCGTTCGTGGGCCATGCGGCGCTGCTGGTCGGCGCTGCTGCGCTTGTGGGTGAGAGTCCTCATGGATGCTTCTTGGTGTCTCTTCGGAGGGTCCACGGGGGGCTACTGTGCAAGGGACCCCTGGGGGGGCCTCCTGGGGGCGCCTTGGATGCCTCCTGGGGCTCTCTTGGCGCCTCTTGGGGGTCTCTTGGTCCCTCTTGGGGGGCTCTTGGGGGCCGCTTGGGGCAGCCTGGACGCCTCTGGGGGCCGAGGGTTCGAGATGCCCGTTCGGATGCTTCCTTCTGGGCCCCCTCTTGGGGCCGTCCTGGGTTTTCTCTGTCCGTCTTTCTTGGAGGCCTCTGGGGCCGTGTTGGGGCCCTCTTGGGCCGTGGCGGGGTTCTCGTGGAGGCCTCTTCGGCCGTCCTGAGGCGATCTTGGGGGCCTCTGGGGGGGGGTTGGGGCTCTCTTGGAGGCTTACTGGGCCGTCCTGGAGCGATCGCAGAGGCTTCCTGGGCCAACTTAAAGCGTCGGCGGCCGAGAAAGTGAGAACGCTGAAAACCTTCAAACCTATTGTAAATGTGTTGGATGTTGCCTCTAGGGGGCTTCTTGGGAGCGGTATTGGAAGCATCTTCGGGCGTTTTGGAGGCGGTTGAGGCCCTCCGGAGGCTATCTTGGGCATCTTGGAACGATTTCCGGTGACTCTGGGCCCTCTTTGAGAAAGCCTTGGGGACCTCTTGAGACGCCTTGGAAGGCCCTGAAGGCCCCGAGGAGTTCTGGCATCCGTTACGGGGACCGCCCAGGGTGCTTTTCGTCCAGGGGCCCCCAGGGGCAGCCACGCGCGCGCGAACCAGACGTATTTTGAAGCTTTGACAAGAGATGTTAGCACGTCTTTGGTCCGTCGGGCTGGAGAATTGTCCTAGTGGCGCTCCTCCTCCTCCTCCTCTCCTCCTCCTCCTCTCCTCCTCCTCCTCCTGCTCCTCCTCCTGCTCCTCCTTCTCCTCCTCCTCCTCCTCCTCCTCCTCCTCCTGCTCCTGCTCCTGGCCCTCCTGATGCTGCTGGTGCTGCTGGTCTTCCTCTTTCACCCCGCCATGACCCAGTTGCTTCATCCTCCTCGCGCCCCCGCACGCTCATTTTTGATCCCCCTTGTCCTCCCTCCTCTTAGGGAGCAGGAGGTGGAGGAGCAGGAGGCGCAGCACCGTGCGGCAGGAGTCGCCCACCCCCCCCACCCCCCCATTCTCCTGACGCTGCCCCGAATGGAGGAGGGGCAGCAGAGGCAGGATCATCGGCCAACCTCGCGTCCTGGGCTGTGACCGCGGTGCTTCTGTGCCTGATCGCGTGCCTCGACCAGCCCTGCGTGCCCGAATCCTCGCACGTACGGGTTCACTCTTGAGCCCCCTCGGCCCCGGAGGCGGGTGTGAAGAGGGAGAGCGCGGCGCGTATTCAAGCGAGGAGTCGGCTGCGGCGGCGGATCCGAACACGACACGCCAGGAAGAACGGATCGTGCGAGCTGGAGAACGGGAAGCGCAGTCGGGGCGGAGGGGGCCGCGGCGGAGTGGCCGAAAGAGTCGCGCAGGCAAGCTGGAGATCCGCAGCATGGAGTACTTCAACGTCGACAAGGAGCGCACTTCGACAAGCGGCCCGGCCTTGGGCGTCGCGTCATGGGGGGTCGATCGATGTGGGGGCGGCGAAGGGCTGCAGAAGAGGGGTCCTTCAGGGCCCCTGCAGGGCCCCAGAGGGGGCCTCCAGGGCCCGAGAAGTGCACCTCCCTTCCCCCACGTCTATCACCAGCGACGCCCAACGGTCTCGCTCTCTCTAGCGTTCAGTCGGGCGTGTCCCTCTACAGGAGGAATCTCCAAAAGTAGTCAAAACATAGTCTGGGGACGATTTGCTTCCCATGTTTGATTATTTGGGGAGCATCTTTGGAGTATGTTCTATGTTTCCCCCCAACTCCCCTGTAAGGGGACGTGCCCGACCTAACTCTAGCGGAGCAGGACACGTCGATATGCCGATGCCCTTCGCTCGTTTTCTCCGTTTTTTTTGGCCCCCTCAAGGGGGTGGCGGAGGTCGTCGCGCCGCCGCGGCCGGGCTTTCGCCTCGAAAACCCGGCTAGAACGCACCCCAGTCGAGTACAGGGGGGGCGCGCATCAAGAAACCATTTGCTTTTTGTCAGGGTACCCTAGGTTTCTTCGCTTCGCGCGCTGCGCGGTGACTTCCCGCGCCGTCAAAGAAGCTGCTTCGTTCAAGGTGCTCTGGGGTTCTCCTCAGGTGCACCTCGCGCGCGGGTTTTCAGGGTTGGGCTTCCAGCGAGGGTTTCTTGCGGCCGCGCCCGCACTGTAGGAGATCTACTACATAATCGATTGGACCATGGCGACGTTATCGACGATGACATTGATGATGGCGGCGGTGATGATGACGACGATGGTGATGATGATGATGATGACGATGGTGATAGTGATGTTGACGATGATGGTAGCGATTGTGCCGATGAGGATGATGAAGCAGTGCGCGCCAGCAGCATTTCAGACATCCCTGAGCGCTCCTGAGCGCTTTGAGAGTGTCTTGGCACGCTGCCTGCGGAGCGAAGTTTCCTGGTCCCTGCCCCGGCCGATGACATCTCCGGGGTCGAGTAGGGGATCGACTATAGACTCGATTTACGGTCGGACCGAGGTATAAGATCGAGGTCGGTTCGGGGAGGATACCCTAATGCTCTTCGGGGAGGGCACCCTCGAATGCTCCTCAGTGTAACTGGCGGTAACTGGCGGAGGTTCTCATGTGTTTGAATGATGACCTTTTGTCTTAGGTCTGGACGTACAGAATCGACCTACCCAAACATTGATTTTATCGCTTGGTCTACGAAACATGTGCGGGATGCTCCGCAGGCCTAAGGGACATGGTGCATGCTCTTCCGCAGACTCGACGGAATCAAACACAACCTTGGGGATACATCAGTTCTGTAGTCGATGGCCTACTCGACCCCAGAGATGTCATCGGGCGGGGAAGGGACCAGGAAACTTCGCTCTGGAGTGTGCCAGGACGCCCTCAAAGCGCTCTGGAGCGCTCTGGGATGTCTGAAATTTGTGCTGGCGCACACTTGCTCACCATCCTCATCAGCACAATTGATTTCATCATCGTCAGCATCATCATTGCAGTAGTCATCATCGTCATCATCATCATCATCATCATCATCGTCATCATCATCATAATCATCATCATCAACAATAACATCATCACCATCACCATCACCATCATCATCGTCGTCATCACCATCGTCGTCATCATCGCCGCCGCCGTCATCAATGTCATCGTCGACGACGTCGCCCTCGTCAAAAGTTTTGCGCGCAGGCACTTCATCATCACTACTTGCAACATCGTCATCATCATACTTATCGCTAGCGTCATCGTTGCCACCCCCATGTTTCATCACCATCAGCTTCATCACTTTAGCCTTTGGCATCAGCGGCATCACCACTGCCTTCGCCATCGTCGTTGGCCTTTCGGTCGTGACCATCGCCACCACCATTCCGTGACCTGCATGTCGAACACGTCTGCGCGGTTGAGTTCCACCCGCTCGTGCGCCTGTTGAGATCGTGGCCAGATGAGTCTTGCCAACAAGTTGCGGCCCGAAGTTTGGGATGATTGCACGAACCTTGGAGCTTACGATTTAGCGGCGTCGATTCTTTCATCTTCATACAAAAAAGAATATCCCCCCCGGAGTTCGCGATCCCCTTTTTTACAGATTGCAATGTACATGTGATTATGCTTTATCTTCCATCCTACACACCATCCCAGGCAGGTTGGCATACCCCCCCCTGATCATTTGCAGAACATGCTATGCGCGCACACTCGGTTCTCAAAACCCGTCAATCTTCAATAAACCTTTCCAGCAAAAATTAGCCTGGCGAAGGACCCAATCATATGCAATTGTGAATACCGCTCTCGCGAATCTCATCTTCACCCGTGCCTCCCATGGGGCCACGAACCGCGCGAGGGGCGCGCCGACATCCGCGGCGGGACACGTAGCGCGAACGAAGACGACAGGTCTGCGCGAGAGACTGAGAGCAGATGCGTCTGATCGCGAGTGAGTCTGATTATGAATGAGTCTTCGAGCGCGTGAATCTGCGCGCATAAATGTCGACGCCCATGTCGGCGCGCCCCTCGCGAGGATCGCGCCCGCTCCCTCCCCGTTATTATTCTGCCATTGAGCCCGCGCGCCAACGTCCAAGGCTGCGGGCGCGGCGCCGCGCGGAGTCCCCGCGACGCGCGCCTGTCGCCCCGAAGGGGTGCCGGCGACGCGCGCGGGTCGTCCGTTGCGCAGAGCAGAGGGTTAGCTGGCTCGCCGATAGCGGGCATGGCTCTGGCCGCTGGGCAGAGCGACGGCGGGGGCGAGCGAGGCGCCGGGCAGAGCGCAGCGCGGAGTTCCCGCGACGCGCGCTGGTCGCCCCGAGAGGGCCCCGACGACGCTCGCGGGTCGCCCGCGGCGCGAGGCCGAACAATCAGACCGTCGAGAGACGGCGAGGCTCGGGCGGGCCGCTCTTCAGGTCAAGCTTCGCGGATAAACTCGGTGAAGCCCAGCTCCCTGGCGAAGACCGTCGCCTCTCTTCTGCGCCGCTTCGCGCGCGCCGCAAACTGCTCCAGCTGCTCCCGCGAGCTCTCCAGCCGCCCTGCCAGGAAGAACTCGATGCGCGGCGCCCGCATGAGCAGGAGGTCCTCGTGGCGCGTGGCGCGCGCGAGCAGCGCGTAGAGCTTCATCCACCAAACGTCGTCCTCCTTCTTGCCGTTCCCGACCTCGTGGCGGCCGCAGTCCAGGATCACGCCTGGGCGACGTCGGCCGAAGGAGCAGCGCGCCTGACAGCCGACGGCCCAGGGCGAGAGTCCACGGGATCGAGGTCTGGCTGAGGACTGCCCTTGTCCAGCAAGCCTGGCCGCGAACTGCCCCAGAGCGCATTCCTTTACCCTGTCGCCTTCGCGCATGGTGCGCCCCTGCCGCTGGAGCCGTCGGTGGAGCTCCCAATGGGGCCACGAAGCGTGTGAGGGTGTGCCAAAAGGAGGGTGCGCCGCCATACGAGGTCCGCCACTGGGACCTGAGGTGGAGCTTCCTATGGGGCCACGAAACGTGCGGCGGGGCCGCCATGCGAGTTCCGCCACGGGGACCCTGGGTGGAGCTCTCTATGGGTCCACGAAACGCGTGAGGGGTGCGTCAAAATGGGGCGCGGATGCCACGCGAGTTTTGCCACTGGGACTTTAGGTGGCGTTCCCTGTGGGGGAACGAAACGTGTGAGGGGTGTGCCACAATGGGCCGCGGATGCCATGCGAGTTCCGCCAGTGGGACCATCGGTGTAGCTCATATGGGGCCACGAAACTTTTGAAGGGTGTGCCAAACTGGGGCGGGGATGCCATGCGAGTTCCGCCTCTGGGTCCTTCGGTGGAGCTCCCTGTGGGGGCACGAAACGTGTGAGGGGGGCGCCAAAATGGGGCGGGGATGCCATGCGAGCTCCGCCACTGGGGCCTCACGTGGAGCTCTCTATGGGTCCACGAAGCGTGTGAGGGGTGTGCCAAAATGGGGCGGCGCCGCCATACGAGGTCCGCCATGGGGACCTTAGGTGGAGCTCCCTATGGGGTCACGAAACGTGCGACGGGGCCGCCATGCGACTTACGCCAGTGGGACTTTAGGTGGAGCTCCCTATGGGGCCACGAAACGTGCGAAGGGTGTGCCAAAATGGGGCGGGGATGCCATGCTAGTTCTGCCACTGGGACCTTAGGTGGAGCTCACTATGGGGCCACGAAACGTTCGATGGGGTGCGCCAAACTGAGGCGGGGATGGCATGCGAGTTCCGCCATTGGGACCTTAGTTGGCGTGCGAGGGGTTTGCCGGCAGAGAGACATGCGGAGGGCAGGGGCACGGAGGGGGAGGAGGGGAGGCAGCGGGAGGACAAGGACGGAGGACGCGGGCGCTGTCTCTTCAAAACGAGGACCCAACACCACAGGAGGGTTTGGGAACACACATCAAAGTGCACACGCGCGCGTCGTCGCCCGCGTATGCCGAGATCTTCAGACTGTATAGCAAAAGCTGCGTTATCGCTTTTGCGAATTGTTCAGGAAACCGCCGGTCTCCATGCTGCCCGACCCTGTCGCGCCGCATGTCGAAATCAGACGAACGCCTTTGCGCGCGTGATGGGAGGGGGGCGACCTTTGTCAAGCAATATCATGCGAGCCACTCTCGCGCGTCGGCCGCGCGCGCATGTCGAACTCCTCCCAAACCCTAAATCACCGACGCGAGGACACCGTCATCATCGCCGGCGTGATCAGCATCGGCGCCGTCACTGGTCGTGCCGCCGTCGTTGTCATGATCTACACCAACACCGTTGCTATCATCATCGTATCTACCGTTGCCGACGTTCCATGACATCGCGCCTGCCAAGAAGGCGCCGACTCGAATTGGAGTGCCCGGTGGGAGCCGCCCAACGCTCAGCGCCACTGGTGCCGCGTCTGTCGTGCCAAACTAGCTGGCCGCTGCGCGCGTGAGCATGCGCGGGTTAGCGCGGCCGCAGAAATCACAAACCAACACCAAACATTGGTTTCAATCGTTGCGGCATGGGTTTTGCAAGCCATGTTGCGGGGGTATATATATATATATATATGTGGGATGACCGCGCGAGCCGTGCAGTTGGCAATTCACTGCGGGCAGGAACGAGCGGCACCTCCCTGATTTCATTCCCAAGTACCGCACAAGTTGCACCCCATGTGTTGCGCAACGTAGATATGGAATCCACATGTTGTACACCCTGTGTTGCACCACGTATGTTGTACCCCCATGCGTTGCAACGCACAGAGCGCATATCGGAACGCAATTGCGAACAGTGCTTGGTCATCGCTACCAAGATTTACATGTCAGACTCCAGTTCGTGCGATAGCCATCAACAGCCAACACCACGTAGCAACAAAGAACTTCAAGCGCCAGCAAGCAGCGGCAAAAACAGCAAACGGCTGAAAGAGCAATGTTTCTGTTTGCGTCCGAGCCAGGTTTCTGCCATCGGCCGTCTTGGAGTCGTGCTGGGCCCTCTTGGGCCGTGTTCGTCCCGCTTTGGGCCGCGTTGGGCGCCCTCTTGGGGGCCATGTCGGCGACATGAGGGGCTGCACGCGCTTGACAGCAGCCGAAGCTTTAGCTTGTGTTACCCAGTCCTTGCCCGTTTGCTCACGTGTGGGGGAAGGAAACGCACCACCACCACCACCACCACCTGGAGGATGGAGGCAGAGGCTGGTCAGGGTTGCTTGTGGCCTATATCGTGTCGGGCGCTCTCGCGGGGCATCGTGCACACCCGCATCCCGCACGCCAGCTTGTCCTGAATCCCCCCAGGTGTTGGTGGTGAAGTTCCGCGTCCTGCTCCCGCCAGAATGGCCGCGTCTGCCAGCAGAGGGCGGCGAGTCAGCGGCGCCCACGGCGGATCTGCGGCTCATTGTTGGTGCGGTGGCTCTCGGGCAGCTTCGGACGCTCCGAGCGCCTCGGGGGCCTCTTGGCCCCCCTTCTCGAGCTTCCACATCGGCTCCTCGCAGGTGGCGGGGGTCCCTGAGATCCTGGCGCCGCGATTCGTCTACAGCGGGAGAGTTTGCCCCGTTGCGGGCCCTGGGGGTCTCACGGATCGGTCCGGTCCAGAGGATGCATCAGAAAGACGGGGGCCAGGGTTCCGGTCGAGTTGTCTCACGATGCCGCATTTTTTCACGACGCCAGATCTCAGGGGGGGCGCTTGGGAGCGCCTGGGAGCGCCGAGGAGCGCCTGGGAGCGCCGAGGAGCGCCTGGGAGCGCTTGGGAGCGCCTGGGAGCGCCTGGAAGCGCCTGAGAGCGCCTGGGAGCGCCTGGGAGCGCCTGGGAGCGCCTGGGGCTGTCCAGGCGGCAGCGGGTGCCACGCCAACGGTGCTCTGCTGGGGCCGCCCCGCGGGCGCCCTTCCGGGGTCGCCCGGAGACGAGGCCATCCCTTGGGGCGCATCTTCGCCGCCCCGCCCGCCCCCGTGGCGCTCCCCTGTTGGCCAGCGCGGGCTGCAGCCCCCCATGCGCGCCCCCGCGGAAGCGCATGGAGGACAGAGCCGAGGCTGCGTTGCATACGGGGCGTGAAGACGACCACAGCCACTGCTTTTCTTTGGTTGCCGCCTTCCAGCCAGCAGAATCAAAGCGGTGGTTGTGGTCATTTTCGTTCAGCTTGGCGCCAGGGAAATGACCACAACCACTGCTTCTTTTTCGGCCGGCTGGAAGGTGGCGCAAACAAGAAGCAGTGGCTGTGGTCATTTTCCAGTCCCGCATTGCAGGCGCATGTCGAGCGCGAGTGGCAAGCCAACAAGGCCAGTTCCTTGCAGCGCCTTGCCTAAGCCGCTCACAGGCGCTTGCCGCCCGCCGGCACCCGAGGAAACCGGGGAACCCGAGGAACCCGGGGAACCGATGGTGTGGCCATGAGTCTGCCGTCGGGTGAAGGCCTACACGCCGCCACGCTGGTTCCGGGCAGGCTGTGCCGCCCAGCGGAAGGTGGCGAGGAGAGGGCGAGGCTGTGCAACCCGGCGGAAGGTTGTGCCGCCTGCCACTGAGGAGACTGCCACGCCGACGGACAAATAAGCGCGCCGCAGATTCGATCAGCGCTGCAGTGTCGCAGCATACCGTTTCAGTTCCGCCATATTCAGCGCCCTGTCGAGGAGGCGCGCCGCTACGACGACGAGAAGGGCGAGGGCTCGTTCCAGAAGGACGAGGACCTGGAGCTGCTCGAGAAGCGGACGAAGGCCGGCGGGGGCTGCCGCCGCGCCTCGGGGTGCGGGACGGGCACCTCGCTGCGAGGGCGAGGAGGGCCAGTCTTCGCTCTCGAGTTCGATGTTCATTTTGGAGGCCTTCCTGGGGCCCTCCTACCAGATCTGTTCGACTCCACTTCAACTCAACCTCGGTTCAGGTTCGATTCAGGTTCGATTCAGCTTCGATTCCGCTTCGGCTCAGCTTCGACTCGAATCGGCGGACGTTCGACGCAGCTGCGACGCACCGGTGGAGCGAGTGGTTCGCAGAAGGTCCCCAGAATGGGCATCTAACTCGAGGGGGGGGGGGGGCGATCTCATGGGCTGCTCGAGGAACGGGCGAGGGCCCTGGGCCGTGGCGTCGTCGCCTTCGTCGTCGTCGTGGTCGTCGGCGAGGGTCGTCGTCGTCGTCGTCGTCGTCGTCGTCGTCGTCGTCGTCGTCGTCGTCGTGATCGTCGAAGGCGTCGGCGACTGTCGTCGTGGTCGTCGGTGAGGGTCGTCATCGTGGGCGTCTTCGTCGTGGGCGGCGCCGTGGGCGTCGTCGTTGTCGTGGTCGTCGGCGAGGGTCGTCGAGGTCGTCGTCGTCGTGGGCGTCGTGGGCGTCGGAGATCGGCGCGTGCGCGCTCCGGCCTGCCCTGGCCGGGGCCCCGGGGCCAGGGTGGCCCTGGCCACGACCGGCTGCGGCTTTGCACATTCCTCAGGGGCAACGGCAGGGGGGGATAACTAAAACGACGCGAAGATCGGGACAAAATCGGATCGGGATAACTCGAAATCTCTGAGAATCGGCGGGTTTGGAGGATGTATTGGGCGCTGCGGCCGCTCCAGAGCGTTCCGGAACGCTCTGAGAGCGCTCCGGAACGCTCTGAAGCGATTTATCCCCATCCTAGCCTTGTTTTAATAACTGAGTGCGGGCGATAATATTGCACATCCCCCCCTGAAAGGCTCTCCTATTTGTATGATCCCCGTCCAACAGGACTTAATTGTGGAGAAGGGCGCGGAGGCCGAACTTTACAATCCACGGGGGAAGTTGCGAATCGAAGTTGCTATCATCTCATGCTGACTAGCAACAGCATCAACATCGCTGAGCATGGCCACGGTGGTCTCACCATATCAGCTTCCGCAATCACGAGCGTGTGGCAGGCAGGACTGGGATTCTCACCAGTTCAGTTTGAGTCAGTCTTATGCCGAGCGCCTGCTGGCAAGTTGTATAGCCACGAGCCTCGAGATCTCTCGAGTCAATCTTGTGCCGAGCGCCTGCTGGCAAGTTGTAGCCACGAGCATCGAGATCTCTCGAGTCAGTCTTGTGCCGAGCGCCCAGGGCCACCATCATCATGATCATAGCCATCATCATAACTTTACCTTCCCCGGGAAAATCGTTGATTATCCCTGCCAGACCCTCGAACTTTACTATCCCCGGGGTGTTATTATCGCCCGCGGTCGGTTAGGCACGGGGGGACGCATGGACCCCCGATCGCCCATTGATCGCCGGTAGGGGCCTGGTATCGGACATTGGAGCATATGCATCACCAGTGGCGGGCTGCTTGTCAATCTCAAGACTTTTTGAGGGTTGGGGACGGCGTCGGGGTGGTGTGGTGTATGTTTCCCCGTTTTCCCGGGCAATCAACGAAACATGTATGCACCAGGATCCCGTATACACCAGGATCCGCTTTCTTGCGCGAGTTTCAGTGCGGGGCCGACAAAAAGCGTCGGTGCATAGAGTTCGGCTCTTTAGGATAGTCATGAGGGCGGATGCATCGACCCCCAATCGCCCATTGATCGCCGATAGGGGGCCTATCGCCGATTTATCGGCGATGTATGGCCGATTCCAGGTCGATGTATCCCCTCCCGATGCCAGTCCCCCCCTACCGTTGCCTCTCACCTCCTGTGACAAGCGAGGTTCTTGGATCTGGGGAACAGGCGATGAAATCTAAACATCCAAACTCAGAGGTCCGCGCAGATCTCTCAGGTCGGCTCCAGCGCCGATCTGAGAAATCCGCGCGGACCTCCGAGTATCTATGTTTATGCCATTGTTCAGGAGGGGGGAAAACACACAGACACAATTAATCGCTGATTCCCAAAAAAACATGGGAAGGCATGGGAAGTGGGGGGGAAGTGGGGGGGGGAGGCATGGCAGACAAAAAAATACACATTTCGGGGATACTGTTATTTGTGTCTATTTAAATGTGTGTGTGTGTGCGTGTGCGTGTGCGTGTGTGTCTGTGTGTGTGTGTGTGTGTGTGTGTGTCTGTGTGCGTGTGTGTCTGTGTGTGTGCGTGTGTGTGCGTGTGCGTGTGCGTGTGTGCGTGTGCGTGTGTGTGTGTGTGTGTGTGTGTGTGTGTGTGTGTGTGTGTGTGTGTGTGTGTGTGTGTGTCCCAGGACCCCTTCCTATGGATGCTTCTGGGCCTTTGGAGGCCACGGCTTCCACACGATGCCCTATTGGGCACCGGCGTGCTCCCCAGCGGAGCGCGCCCGGCCCCGGCTTTTTCGCCCGGCGGCGCTTCGCATTGGGCAAGGGGCGAGGATCTCGGGCTGCTCGAGAATCGGGCGCAGGCCAAGAAGGCCAAGGTTTTCGATGATTTTGAGGCCTCCTCCTCCTCCTCCTCCTCCTTCCTCCTCCCTCCTCCTCCTCCTCCTCCTCCTCCTCTCCTCCTCCTCCTCCTCCTCCTCCTCCTCCTCCCCCCTCCTCCCTCTCCCTCCTCCTCCCTCCTCCCTCCTCCCTCCTCCTCCCTCCTCTCCTCTCCTCCCTCCTCCTCCCTCCTCCCTCCCTCCTCCTCCTCCTCCTCCCTCCTCTCATCCTCTATCTCCTCCTCCTCCTCCTCCTCTTCCCTCTCGGGGCCAAGGAGCTTCTCCCAAGCGTGAAGACGCAGCGTCCACGCAGTCTTTGTCCTTCAGTTTCTTCCAACTTCTCCTTTCCCTTGTAGATCACTCCATTTCTCCCATACCGTTCCCTTAAAGAGAACCCATCCCTGACTTCCTTCCCTTCCTTTTATTCTTACATATAACTCCGCTTGAGACTTCCTCCCCATTGCTGACCTTAGAGCTTGACGCTTGCAGCAGTTGCGCGGATGGAGGGCGGGTGGTTTTCGAAATGCTGCTCTCGCTTTAGCGCCGCAGATCTAAAACGATGGGCCTGTTTTCCACCACCACCACCACCACCATACGTTGGAGGGGGGGTCTTCCTCCTCCTCTTCCTCCTCCTCCTCTTCCTCCTCCTCCTCTTTCTCCTCCTCCTCCCCCCCTCCAACTTGTGGTGGTTGTGGTGGGAAACAGGCTCATTATAACATGCTTCCAAAACGTCCCGCGCACGCTGCGCTTCTGCTGCACACGGGCCGGCATCTCTCTCTGTGGTTGCAGGAGAGGTGAGCTGGGCGGCGGGAGTCATGCCGCGAGTGAGCGGCAGCCTGAAGTCGGGCCTGTCCATCTACAGGGGGAATATTCAAAAATAGTTAAAGCAATAGTCTGGGGACGATGTTTGACTATTTGGGGATATTCTGTTTTTGTTGAGTATGTCTTATTTTCCGCCCAGAACCCCCCTGTAGGGGAACACGCCCGACTTAATGGCAGTCTCTCGGGCGGGACCAGGACCGGGAGAAGTCCTTCCCGAGCGCTCTGAGACGCTCTCAGGGCGTCCCGTAGCGCTCGGAAGCGTCCGCCCCGAGTACAGGATCCGGCTTGAAGAAGGAACACTTACCTTTCAAAAGGGGCTCGGTCGGTCCTTGGGTTTGCATGCGTTCCGCTACCTTTTTGGCGGCGAGCCACCCTGGTGTTCCTTCGGACTTCGTGGACTTACTTGGAAAAAAAGGGGCTTCGTTCCCTACTTATCGGTCCTTATGTCAGGCCGGATGTTGTATATGCATCCTCCAGAACCGCTGGGTATCAGCACCGTTCGTCTGGTGCCCATCCCCACTGGGCCGTGGTAGCTCAGCCCCCTCCAGACCCTCCAAGATGGGGAGAGGGGCCGCGAAAACCGGAAGGGAACCGCATCTCTCCCCATCTAGGGGGCCGAATCGGTCAGCGGGGCCGCGGCCATGCCAAGGGGGGATGGGGCAAGGTCTGACCACGCTCGGGATATCAGTAATCCCGGGCTTGTATTGTCGGAACCTGGAACATACACACTACCAGTGGCGGTTTTTGTTTCAATCCCACCTTTTTTTCTGAGGGTCGGGGACGACGCCGGGGTGGTGTGGTGTATACTTCTCCCCCGTTTTCCGAGGGAAACAACGAAACATGTATACACCAGGATCCCGTATACACCAGGATCCGCGTTCCCGTGCGAATTTCAGCGCAGGGTCGGAAAACAGCGTCGGTTTCTAGAGCTCGTTTCCCTGGATTGGTCCGATGCTGCCCTTGTGCTGACCTCGTCCTCGCTTCCGCCCCCCTCGCCCGCAAGAGAGGCCCTCTTCGCCGACCGGGCAACACGGCGGAAGGCCGCCGCGCAGGAGGCCAGGCTGCGGTCCGAGCGCCAGGAGCGGGCCAACAAGGAGACGCGCGCTGGAGGAGGAGGAGGAGGAGAAGGAGTAGAAGGAGGAGGAGGAGGTCCTGTGGTGTGAGGTCCCCGTTCTGAAGAGACGGCGCCCCGCGCGCCTCGCTCCCTCCTCCTCCCCCTCCTCCCTCCTCCCATCCCTGCGCTTGCGGTCCACACGCTGCGGCACACCCAGTGCAACGGTTTGTGGCCCCATAGGGAGCTCTACCGAAGGCCCCATTCGCAGGGTCCGCAGGGCGGCGCCGCCCCATTGTGGCGCACCCCTCACACGGTTCGTAGCCCCACAGGGAGCTCCTCCGAAGGCTCCATTCGCAGGGTCCACATGGCAGCGCCGCCCCGGATATCGCACCACTCACACGCTCCATGGCCCCACAGGGTGATCAGCCGAAGACCCCCGTGGCAGGGTCCACGTGACGGCGCCGCCCCTGTTTGGCGCACCCCTCACACGGCTCGTGGCCCCGTACGGCGCTCAGCCGAAGGCCTCGGTGGCAGGGTCCACATGGCGGAGCCGCCCTTTTTTCGGCGCACCCCTCCCTTTTTTCGGCGCACCCCTCACACGGGTCGTGGCCTCACAGGGAGCTGCACCGAAGGCCCTTGTTGCGGGGTTCGCATGGCGGCGCCGCACCTTTTCGGCGCACTCCTCACACGGTTCGTGGCCCCGCAGGGAGCTCCACCGAAAGCGGTGCCACAACACGGTATTCACCATTGCATATGGTTGGGTCCTTCGGCAGGATGATTTTCGGCCACACGCAGTGAGGGGGACTAGGAGGGGGAAGTCATCTTAGAAGGAGGCAGTTTCTTAGAAAGTGCGGGCTTTGTCTGTAGTTGTACGGCCGGCGCTTTCTAAGAAGCGGTTTTCTTCTAAGAAGTTTCCCCCTCCCCCTACCTCGTTGCGCTCGCCGCCAGTTATCCTGAGGATGATGATGATGATGATGATGATGAAGAGGAGGAGGAGGAGGAGGAGGAGGAGGATGGGGATGAGGAGGATGAGGATGAGGATGAGGATGAGGATGAGGGTGAGGGTGAGGGTGAGGGTGAGGGTGAGGGTGAGGGTGAGGAGGGGGAGGATGAGGATGAGGATGAGGATGATGAGGATGAGGATGAGAATGAGGATGAATGACGATGAGGATGAGGATGAGGATGAGGATGAGGAGGATGAGGCTGAGGCTGAGGCTGAGGCTGAGGCTGAGGATGAGGATGAGGATGAGGATGAGGATGATGATGAAGATGCTGATCATGATGAGTATGAGGATGTGGATGAGGAGGAGGAGGAGGATGAGGATGATGAGGATGATGATGATGATGATGATGATGATGCTGATGATGATGATGCTGATGCTGATGCTGATGCTGAGGAGGAGGAGGAGGAGGAGGAGGATGATGAGGATGAGGCTGAGGCTGAGGCTGAGGCTGAGGCTGAGGATGAGGATGAGGAGGATGAGGATGAGGAGGATGAGGATGAGGATGAGGATGAGGATGAGGATGAGGGTGAGGGTGAGGGTGAGGGTGAGGGTTAAGGTGAGGGTGAGGATGAGGATGAGGAGGAGGAGGATGAGGATGAGGATGGTGATGATGATGGTGGTGATGATGGTGGTGATGAATGTGATGTTGATGTTGATGGTGATGGTGGTGGTGGTGGTGATGGTGATGGCGATGGTGATGGTGGTGGTGATGTTGATGATGATGATGATGATGATGATGATGATGATGATGATGATGATGATGATGATGATGATGGCGTGATGGTTATTGTAATGATGATGGTCATGATACGTGTGATGCTGTGGTGATGTTGGTGAATGTGATGGTGGTGATGATGACGACGACAATGATGATGATACTCATCATCACCACCATCATCATCATCCTCATCATCGACGTCGCCGTCGTCATCCTGCATCACCATCGAATCCCCGTCCTCGTCCTCATCTCGTCCTCATCTCTTTCCCCCTGTGGTCGTCCTCATCCCTCGTTCGGAAGATTTGACAGGATTTGCAAATCCAAAGCCAAAGAAATTGATTCCCCATTACGGTTCAAGAGCTGGATCTTGAAATAAAGTGAGAACCAACAGCTTGAATGAGGTTGTCTTGCGCTCGCGCGAGGGCGTATGTTGCCCGCATAGTGTTGTTCCATATGGGCTCGCAGCATACATCAAAAAGTGTTTACGTCGTCTGGTATGATTTCCACGGGACCGCACCAGGACAGGAGCAGGTGTCGTACCCGTTAGGACGGACGTTGGGTCCATACCAAGTACGAAGGTACATAGGAACGTGGGTGAGGGGGCGGGGGGGGGCGAGCAGGGCCAGCACATTGCATGGGGAGAGAGAGAGAGAGAGAGAGACAAAGAGAGAAAGAAAGAAAGAAAGAGAGAGAACAAGTAATTATCATGAACACATCGTAGTGTTTGTTCTTACTCTAACTGAATGTTTGCCCGCGTTGATCCCAAACAGTTCGTTAGTGTCCTCGGTTTGCATGGTACCTGGTGTAAGCTTGGTGGCGCAAGCTAGGTGGTGTAAGGAATGTGATGTGAGCTGTGTGGTGCACCCCGTATTTTGTAAACTAGGTGGTGCAAGCTCTGTCGTGTAATATGTGTGGTGTAAGCTGTGTGTTGCAGCTTTTTTGTTTGTTCTAGGCTGGGCGGTAGAAGCTTGGCGGTGTAAGCTGTGTGCTGCAGGTTCTCTGTTCTGAGCTGGGCGGTAGAAGCTTGGTGGTGTAGGCTGTGTGTTGCAGGTTCTTTGTTCTAGGCTGGGTGGTAAAAAGCTTGGTGGTGAGAGCTACGTGTTGTAAGTTGGGTGGTGCAAGCAATGCGGCGAAAGCTCTGTGGTGTGGGCTCCGTGGGCGGCAGCGAGGCGCCCACCGGCGCCCACCCTCCGAGAGCACGACCGCCAGCCACCACGCACGGGGCGCCCACGAGGCGCCCACGAGCGCCCACGGCGAAGACCCCGGCGACCAGGCCAAACGATTTGGAAGACACTGAGTTTATCATAAGTGCAAGCGATGCTTTGGGCAAGCGCGTGTGGGCAAAGCGAGTTGAAGCACAGCAGTCTGTTGTTGTGCCACTGCTTCTGCATCCCAAGGCTCTGCTGAAGGCCTTCGTGGAAGCCCTGGGGGGGGGGCCTCTTGATTCCCCAGAAGGCTCACCCAGATATCTGTGGGCATCCCGAGGGTCTAGAGGCCGTCTTGGGTCAGCGTTGAGGCACACCGAGGGCGTGCTTGGGGCCCTCGTGGCCCCGTCTTGGAGCCGTCTTGGGGCCGTGAGGAACAGGGGCGAGCACGGCGCAGGGGCGCGCATTCCGAGGGCCTGATGCGCACGGGGGGTCCTCCTCCTCCTCCTCCTCCTCCTCCTCCTCCTCCGCCTCCGCCTCCTCCTCCTCCTCCTCCTCCTCCTCCTCCTCCTCCTCCTCCTCCTCCTGGAGCAGCCCAGGAGCTCTGCCAGACCGCCAGCAGCCAGCAGGCATTCCGGCCCGCCGCAGCCTCGCGCCGGCACGGCCGCGCTCGGAGGAGCCTCCGGCCGCCCGAGAAGTCGTCCAGGCTTTCCCCGAGCAGAGAGGGAGCCCCCTCAGGAGGCCCAGGGCCTCCAGGGGAGCCCCGCCGCCCTCCGAGCCTTCGCCCCTCTCTCGCTGCTTCCCCCCCCCCCGCCGCCGCAGAACTACACGAAGCCGAACATCCTGCTCCTGGGCCCCACCGGCAGCGGCAAGACCTACCTGCTCCGCAACCTCGCCCAGCTCATCGGGGTGCCGTTCGTGAAGGCACGGGGCGGGGAATCGGGAGAGTCCCGATGCTCGAAGAGCGACCACAACAATGCTCAGCCACGCGCAGATAGGGGTGGAGGGAGGGGGGAGGGCTTCTTAGAAGCACCCTGCTCCTTAGAAGGCGCGGGCCTCATCTATAGATGTCAGGCCGGCGCCTTCCAAGAAGCAGCCTTCCCCCCTCCTTCCACCCCCTCATGCGCACCGCCAAAATGCGTAAGCATAAGCTGCCCACGGTCTGCGCGGAGTTGTTCGGATCTGCGCGGGAGCCCCTTGGCGGCCCCTCTGGCGCCGCCCCTGGCGCGCTCCGCGCGCAAGGGAGGAGGGCCTCAGAGTAGATCCAAGATGTCCGCACCGACCCCGTTTGTGTTTGCGTGTCGTCTTCCAGATGTTGCGGGCAAGATGTCTATCCATATCCACTGCATCTTCGAGTTTCGGGCCCCCTTCCCCAGGCACCCGAGGCGCAGTGGATATGGATAACAGTCGGGCCCCTGGAGGCTCGATCTTTCTCCATATCCACTGCGCCTCGGCCTTTGGGCGCCACCTTCCCAGAATATCCAAGACGCAGTTGATGGGCTTATTTTCCACCACCACCACGAGTTGGAGAGGAGGTGGAGGATGAGGAGGAGGACGAAGAGGAGGAGGAGGAGGACCACCTCCCCCTCCTACTTAGTTTGGTGGCGGTTAAAAACAAGCCCACCAGCAGTGGATATGGACCCACGTCTCACCCGCAAACGTGTGCACGACGTCGCTCGGTGGGCCAGGGAGCTCCGCGAGGGAGTATAGGCGCTGCGGCGACCCACAGGTGGGGCAGCTGCCAGGAGGGAAGAGACACACAGACACGAATCATCGCCGATTCCCAAGAAAATGTGGAACATACGGGAAGTGGAGGTGAAGACGAACCTGCAGGAAATATAGCACGTATTGGAAATACTTGGCTTTGTTTCCATGCAGTTGTGTGTGCCACTGGGCCCCGCCCAAGCCGAGGCGTGCGTACACCTGGCTCCTTGTGGCCTTCCAGGCGGCGTGGTGAACCTACCGAGCACCTGGCGCGCTCCACGCGTCAGGGGTCCGGCGCAGATGCAAGAAGTTCGCGCGGAGTTCCGAGCGATGATGTTTGCGCAGGTTTTTGTTCCTCCAGTCCTCACCCTGCTGCCCACCCGGGCCTCCAGTCCTCCAGTCGTCCAGTCCAGAACAAAGCCACCTCGACCCCAACAATCTGCCTTTACTTAACAGCTCTGGGCGTTTACTAAACAGCCCCGCCCTGTTCGATCCTTTCCTCAGGTGCGTTTGCTAAAGGGCTTCTTTTGTCGGGGTGCTTCTTCCTTGGGGTGTTTTTTTCTCGGCGCTCGTACTCCAGAGCTCTAGAGACCAGGGCCAGGGAGGTTCGAGGTCGCCATGAACCTTGGGATCCTGGTGTCCCATTTGTTTCGCAACAGGCGATGTTACCCTGTTTCGGGCCCGGGACCCCTACGGACCCATCCAACTCGAGAAAATCAATAATCCTTAGGACGCGTGTTGGCTCAATGTGTGCTTGCCCTGGTCAGCTCCGCAGATCAGAGCGAGGGGCCGAACGGTCTCACATTGTCCCTGGGTGCGTGACTGAAGAGGGGATCCGCGGTGAAGATTCTGCTTGTTGTTGTCGTCGTCCTGCCCGCGACCCACCCCGCGACCCACCCGCGACCCGCCCGCGACCCACCCACGACCCACCCGCGACCCACCCGCGACCCACCGACATTATCAACATGCGCCTGCGGCGGGCTCGCTACGTATGCCACAAACAAAAATCGGCGCCTGCGGCGGGCCTCTTTAAATTTTCGTTCGAACCTCGTGAACTGCCGGCCACCCCCGCCCCCTCACTCTAATCCGCAATTGCGGGGGCTATCATATAGATGATTGCACCGCCTGCTCCGTCTTGAAGGGCTTCGATGGACAAACAGACGAAGCCGCTAACACTTGGTCGGCGGCCGCGAGGAGTCAAGCAGCGTGCGAGCGACGGTGGGATGCAACCCAGCCGGCGTTCGCACACGCTCTGAGGAGCATCGAGGAGAGCCGCATGAGAGGCTCGGCTCCAGCTTTGTTTTCAGCCAGCCCGCATGGCAAGGACGCGGAACTTTCCAAGGTTACCTTTGCGTCCTTCGCCCATCCTTGGCCGCTGTCGCGGGCCGCGCCCCGGTCGCAAAGTGTCGGCATGGCCTTCCAAGGCCCTTGCATCATCCGGTGGCCTGCGAGGGGGAGAAGTGAGAAGAAGAAGGCCTTCTCAGAGGGTTCCGAAGTCCCCCGGCGTTCTGATCAGTTTTCTGCGCCTCCCCCGAAGGCACGGAACACTGTTCAGAAGGCGCGAGGGCCGTCTGAGAAGTCCCGCCGCTCTCTGAGAAGGCCTTGTCCTTCTCCTTTCCCCCCCTCGCCCTCCTTTCTTTCTCCTTCTCCTTTTCTCTGATCGCACAACACGTGGGGAGAATTGGCAAACAACTGCGTCGGACAGCCTTTCTGTGGTCACAATTGGAGGACGGTTATGTGCACCGCACACATCAGGAGGGGACAAATCACACAGACACAATTAATCGCCCACTCCCAGGAAAATATAGGAAAATATTGGAATTGGGGGGGAAGACAGAAACCCAGAAAATATGAGAAAATATGGGGGATATTTTTATTTGTGTGTATTTATTTGTGTGTCCTGGGGCCCCTTCAGTTATGTGCACCGCACACATAGCGACAGATCTACCCTCGACTGAACGAGCGGCGCCCCGGCGCCCACTCCCAGCCCCGCGCGCGGCCCCCCTCACGGGCGAATTGGAAGTCGCTTCGCCTCTCCTGTTCCTGTTCTTCTCCTCTTCCTTGCTCCTTCTCCTCCTTCCCTCCTCCTCCTTCTCCTTCTCCTCCTCTCCTTTCCTCCTTTCCTTTCCTCCTTTCCTTTCCTCCTTTCCTCCTCCTTCCCTCCTCCTCCTTCTCCTTCTCCTTCTTCCCTCCTCCTCCTCCTCCTTCCCTCCTCCCTCCCTCCTCCTCTCCTTCTTCTCCTTTCCTTTCCTCCTTTCCTCCTCCTTCCCTCCTCCTCCTCCCTTTTCTTTCTCCTTCTCCTTTCCCTCTCCTCTCCACCCCGCCCCCCCCCCCCGCTCGCCGCCGAGCCCTCCGCGCGCCCCCTCCTGCTGCGGGCTGCGTGCGCGAGCTGCTGGCAGCTCTGCTCGCGTGACCTCGGACCCTCGGGGCCTCCCTGCCGCGGGGGGGGGGCGACGACAACGACGACGACGACGACGACGACGACGACGACGACGACGAAAACAACGACGACGACGAAAACGACGACGAAAACGACGACGACGATGACGACGACGACAACGACGACGAAAACGACGACGAAAACGACGACGACGACGACGACGACGACGACGACGACGACGACGACCAGCCCCGCGCCACCGAGGGGGGTGGGAGGCCGTCGCGGGGCAGAGGCGCCCCCCCCTTCCCCCCCCCCCCTTCACGATGGAGTAGATCTTGGATGTTTGGGGTGCCTGTGCAGGGCTCGTTTCGATTCCTCCGATTCGATTCGATTCGACTTCGATGGATTCCGATTCGATTCGATTCGACTTGGGCTTCCGATTTGGGTTCCGATTTCTTATTGGAGGCATACTAGCCTGCCGATTTCCGCCGATTCGACTTTTCCCGATTCGGCTGCCGACTTCCGCCGATCCGATTCATGTCGATTGCCGATCCGATTTATCGATTCGATTCTGGGCACTCCTGCCTGTGTCAAGCAGGTGGACGGCTCGCCATGAGATCCCCCCACGGGAGCACTGTTCCAAGCAGTCGCATCAAGCAGAGGTCTGGAGCCAGACCCCTCCCCCCCCTTCCGCTCCAGGTCGAAGCGCCGCATAAGAAAACGTTCACTGAAGGTACACATGCCGCTGCCTTTCTCTCGTTTTCCCCTTGTGAGGCCTCCCGGGAGGCCCTCGTCGCCACCGCTGGATTCGCCTCGAGAGAAACGCACCCCAGGAGAGGTCCGGGGAGAAGCGGCATCGGTATTGCGAAGGCCATACGGCCGGTGCCGCCGACCCTGAATGGCGACGACGACGACGACGACGACGACGACGACGACGACGACGACGACGACGAGCGCTCTTGGGGGCCTCTTGTGGGTAGTTTGTGGGCCTCTTGGGACGCTCTTAGGGGCCGCTTGGAAGCCTCGTGGGGGCCTCTTGGGGGCTTCCTGGGGGTCTCTTGGAGGGGACCTGGGACGTCTTGAAGGCTTCTGAGACGGTCTTGGGGCCATCTTGGGTGTTCTCGGCCGACCTTTGGGCCACTCGGGGCCCTCTTGGGCCGTCTCGGGGGCCACCTGGGGCAGTCGGACCTCATTTGGAGTGTTTTCGAGGTTTCTAGGCCGCCCTAGGAAAAACGAATCTGCCCCCCCCACCCCCCGGGACCCGCGACCGGTTGTTACTATGGCCCGTTGGGTGTTAGTGTGGCCCGTTGGGTGTTAGTGTGGCCCGTCGCGCGGCGGGATGGGAGTTACTGTGGCCCGCGCAGGCCGCTCAATGAAAAGTAATATGTAAAGGTATCTCATGTTAGATCTGGAGAGATTCGCAACCCTTAAGGGAATGCACTCCCGCGCAGGCAAAAGTGGCCACAGTAACTCCCATCTGGAACCAACGTGGTAGTAGTGCTGTGTTAGTGGTGTGGTGGTCGCTGTGCTGTGTTAGTGGTGTGGTGTGGTGTTGGTAATGTTGTGTTAGTGGTGTGGTGTTGGTAGTGGCGGGTTGTGCTGTATGCTGTGTTAGTGGTGGGGTGTTGGTAGTGGTGTGTTGTGTTAGTGGTGTGGTGTTGGTAGTGTTGTGTTAGTGGTGTGGTGTTGACAAGGTTGAGTTGTTAGTAGGTAGTAGTGTTGTGGTAGTGGCAGTGGTGCTGTGGTAGTGGTGTTGTGGTAGCGCTGTTGTGGTGTTGTGGTTGTGGTATTGTGGTAGCGGTGTTGTGGTGTTGTGGTAGCGGTGTTGTGGTGTTGTGGT